TAAATCACCGGCGGCACAATGAAGAGGTGCTGAGTGCTGCTGCCGTTAACAGGTGCAGGGTCACCCCAAAACCCTGACCTCCCCAGCACTGCATGTGAGTGACCCCTCGGCCTGTCTGCGGGGGCATTTCTGCCTCCAGCTCCAGGGAGGGATTTTGATCCCTCCAGAGCAGCTGCTGCTGGAAAAGCTGTGATTGTCAGGGCTGAAACTTCCCTGGTTTTGTGTAAAGCTCAGGGGAGCAGAGCCCTGCGGCCCCGGCAGCACTGGGGCTGACACGGTGCCATCTTCATCCCCTCCTCGAGCAGCAGTAAATCAAACTCCCAACACTGCCCCTCTGGGGCTTTGCATTAATCACATTAGTTGGATCAGGGCTGGTACAGGAGCTGGGAAAGAGTTGCAGCATCCTGGAAGCCCGAGTGCTCAACCCAGCTCCCAGCTCAGGCAAGCCCTTGTTCCTGTTCTCCTCTGCTCCCACTGTAAGCAGAACTTGTTGGGAAATATTTGTCCCCCACTGTGCCCTGTTTCTCCAAGGACAAACCATCCTTGAAGGCCATTCCTGCTTCCTGGGGTGGTGGGGAACTGGGAGCCTCATGAAAGAGCTCTTGGAACAACCTGAGTGAAGGGAGAATGCTTTGCCATGTGGGGATGAAGGGATACTCACAGGAGTGAGAGATGTTCAGGAGGAGGGATAGATACTCATGGGGTTGGAAGGATCCTTAAAGGCATGGAGAGATCCTCATGAGGATGGAGGAATACTTCCTGGGAGGAATGGATGCTTGTGCGATGGAAGGACACTCACAGGGAGGGAGGGATGGATGCTCTTGAGGAGGGATGTTTGTGGGGAGGAATTGGTGCTTATAGAGATGGAGGGATGCTTGTTCGGATGGAGGGATGCTCATGAAGAAGAAGAGATCTCTTCAGGACGGAGAGATACTTGCAGGGAAGGAGGGATGTTTGCGGAGATGGAGGACCTGATGTGAGGAGGACCTGATGCTCATGGCAGTGGAGAGATGCTCAAAAGGAAGGAGGAATGTTCCTAAGGAAAGAGGGATGTTTATGGGAATGAATGGATGCTCATGAGGATACAGGGATGTTGACAAGGACAGATGGATGCTCCTGCTCATGTCAAGGAGAGTGAGACTCTGAGAGAGCTTGAGCTCTTGCCTGCTTAAGTGAAGACAATGAGGCTGGGATGGCAAAGCTGTGCAGTGCTGGAAATGGCTTTGTAGGACCCAACCAGGCAGGTCACGGGAGGACGCTTCGGGGCTGCGGGGAATCATCCCACAAAACAGCATCCCCAGAGGCCAGCCGGGATTTTTAACGCAATAGTGCCACCCCGTGCAAGCCCTGGGATCCTGGCTGCGGTGACATGTGGCACCGGAGGCCCGAGTGGTCCTGGCTGGACCAGGGGCAGGACAGGGTCCGCCGCCACGGGAGGGTGGTGGCGCTGTGGACCGGAACACCCTGGGGTGGGAGACATGGCCCGGGGCACGGCAGCAGAGGGTAAGGATTATGGCTGCGCCCCCATGGGAATCACTTGGTCCGGCAGCACTCGGGATACTGCAGATGTCAAAAATACCTCTGGTTTGTAGGGCACCCTTTAGGCTGGAGGAACATGATCCATCCTGACCCATCCCAACACACCTCCCTCCATGCCCCTGTACCTGAGAGACTGTTTCAGTGTGTCACATGGTGACAAGAAGCTTTCGGGACAGGACCCCTCTGTCCCTGAGCATTTTTAGGGTCAGGTTTTGATATTTTAGAACCTTCTGAGTGTGCACACACAGCAGGGCACACATGAGTATGGCCATGACCCTGTACAGTCCCATCAAGGCTGTTGGGAGGGCACCTCCTATCCTATAGGGCCCATACGGGATCACCATGTCTGCCTAAAGCTGGTGGAGGAATTGTTGGACACAAGGCTATTTGTGCTGTGCAAATAAATATAGAGCAGCATTTGCATGCTGCCAAATAACAGGAAGAAGATGGTTTCATGGATGATCGCTGTCATGATGCACACCTCAGTGAAGCTTGAGATGCAGCCACCTCCCTCCACTCAGATCAAAACAGCTAATCCTTTGGGAATAATAGACGTAAGCCTCTTAGCCGGCCATGCTGTCAATGCCCATCACTGATGATCTGATTAAAATCAAATGGAAAAGATTAAACTCACCCTTTCTGGGTACCCCTGGAGCTGCCCCAGTGGCGAGTGATGAAGAGGAGCCCCTCCTCTGTGGGCTCAGTGCCTTCACTCTGCCCTGTCCATCTGTCCGTCATGGGTCTGCCCAGATGCGGGCACTCCGAAGCCAGGAAGAGCACTGCAGCAGCTGGCCCCTATGAAGACAGTGGATTATCCGTGTCCAAGCTGCCACCTGAGGCTGGAGAAAACAGTGCCAGGAATATTGGCTATAGGGCAAATTTCCTGTAAGAGAGTCCTTGGTCAGACCCAGCGAACATCCCCAGTGTTTCACTTTAAGCAGCTGTATGAAACCCGCCAAAGGTGCCCATCTGAGCAGCCCAGGCAGAGGAGAGAGAGGGAAAAGCAGGACAGGAAGAGTCAGAGCTTCGACCTAGAGACCCCAGAGCCACCCTGGCCCCACATCCCCCTGCAGCACCCATGGGTGCATGCAGCATAGCTGTTAGTTCGTTTCTAGAGCTATACTTTAATCTGTATGTACGTCTAATGAGTCACCTCCCACAACAAGGGGAACCCTCTGAATCTCACACCCTCAACCATGAAAATCCATTGTGCCCCAACCTCTGCCCCTTCCTCTCCAAACCACTGCATCTCACAGCACTTACTTCTCGGCGGTGGCTTAAGATGCCTTTTGGGGAAGCTTTTGAGTGGCTGCCTGGGCCTGGGCAGAAATCTGGGGGGTTGTGTGGGACTGGACAGAGATTTGGGGGGTGCCTGGGAACAGGCAGCGATTTAGAGTGCTGTATTGGCATGGCAGAGATCGGGGGGGCTACATGGCACTAGGCAGTGATTTGCGGGTGCGTATGTATTAACGTACATATATATATATATATATACACACACATACACACAAACAGGAGCCCTTCGAGCCCCAGGTCCTCATGATGCGCCGCCAGAGGGCACCGCGCCCCCAGTTTTGACCGCCGCTTCCCACAATGCAGCGAGCCGGGCCGGGGGGTTCCGCTCCGCACGCCGGGCTGCGGCCGCAGGACAACGCGCAGCGCCGCGGAGCACCGCGCAACCCCGCCGGCAGGTAAGCGCGTTCCTCCGCCCTCAGGGCGAGCGCGGGCACTTCGAGGGGGATTAATTCATTTAATTGGATTGCATTTTATTTCATTTATTTTTATTATTTCATGTTGGCTTGTTTTGGGGGTTTTATTTTTTACGTTCATATCCATTTATTTTATTATATTTTTCTTTTTTTTTATTTTTCATGTTTCATTTCATTTCACTTTAACTTTTATTTTAATTATTTTATTTTTTTCTAATTATTTTACTATTTTCTTTCATTTCAATTGCTTAATTTGCTTTTATTGTACTTTATAATTCCTTCCCCCAGCCCAGCAGGGGGCCTCTGGCTCTGCCAGGGAGCAGCCTTATCCCATCCCAGGATGGTTCCCGGCTGGTGGGGACCTATCACCCTCCCACTCTCTTTTTCCCCTCCCCATTCAGGCCTGGGGGATTTTGGGTGCTGGCGGGGAGGCAGCATGGGCAGTGGGGTGAGCCCTGGCTGGGCTGGTGGCTGCATTCTTGAGGGGGGGTGTGTCACCCAGCCCCCTAAATTTGGGTGAAACTCCTGGCCGTGGCTCTGTCTTATCTCCGGGATGGGGCCACATAAAATAGGCTTAATGTGGAAGCAGCTGTTTAAATAGCAGGCGAGAGCTCCCTACCCGTGGTGAAAGTTGCTTTCTAGTTTTGGAATTTGGGCTAAGGGGGATGCAAGGAATATCGGCTGGTTTGAAAGGACTTTTGAGCCACAAGGAGAAATCCCAGCCGGGAGGGAGAGCCTGGGATGGCCAGAGAGGAGGTGAATGGCCCTTGAAAGCAGAGGAATGGCTTTGGCTTTTCCTTAGAGAGGGATCTTGAGAGCCCCAGCATGCCCATTGCTGCTGGTTTAGTGGTACCTCTCCATCATTTGGCTGTGGCTGCTTTAACTCCTTCCTCCCAGGATGTGAACCAGGAGAGCATGGGGAGAGCAGAAGGGCTTGAAGTCAGGATGCTCCAGTCTCACTTCCTTGCCTGGTTCCCTCTTCATGTGGTGGATCTGAAGGTGCCTGGGACTCACCAGCACCTTTGACTTGTGGTTTGGGTCAGTTTGTTGGTGAAAAACCTCAGTTTTGCACAAAACCCCTCAGCCAGAGCAGCATTAAAGAAATTTGTCTGTGCCAGGGAGGGAAGTTGGACATGGGCTAAAGCAAATAAACTTGTATTTCATAATGCTGGGGCTGGGTTTCTTTGTTTTCCGCTCTGCTCTGGGCAGTCTGGGCTCCCTACGGCCACAAATGTTTCCACATCCAACCTTCCCCTTCAGACGTGTCTCAGTGGCTGAGTAAAAAAACTTCTGCTCCTTTCTGCAAAGCTCACTCCCTATGGGGGCTGCTCTGTGCTCTGCCTCCATGGGCTTTTCCTTTGGGTGTTTCTCATCTCAGTTGCTGTGGGGAGGAGTTTTGCAGGGCTTCTCCTCCAGCCCCATCCACACAAAGCAGCTCAGAACCAAGGTGAGAGATGCTGCAGATATGGGAAATCTGAGCATGGCTGGCCTGACAGTGGCCGTGTGTCAGCCGGAGCTGTGTGTTCTGCCAAGGGATGTGTGCCAGCTTCTTGGCTCGTGCTGCTCAGCTCAGGAGGTAGAGGATGCTGTACATGAGGGAAGCCAGTGTTATTTTTTGTCCCTGGAAGGGGTGTTAAAAAACCCAAGGTGCTGAGATATTTCTCTGCCCATGCCCACTGCTGCAGACCTGTCTGGGTCAAGGAGGTGGAGCCCACCTGCATCCCAGTGAGTGTGGGAACCAAGGGGGTGAGGTGGATTCAGAGGCTGGAGGTGCTGATACATAGCATTTATATGGGGTTGTAAATGTTAGCATAGAAACATAAAATTCTTTGTGTCAGAAGGGACCTTAAAGCTCATCCAGTTCCACCCCCCTGCCACAGGCAGGGACACCTTCCACTAGACCAGGTTGCTCCAAGCTCTGTTCAATTTGGCCTTGAAACACTGCCAAGGATGGGACAGCCACAGCTTCTCTGGGCAACCTGTGCCAGGGCCTTACCACCACCACAGGGAAGAACTTCTCCCTGTTGCCTAAATCCTCTCCTGCCTCCCCTAAAATTCAGCAAAAAGCCAAATCAAAGCAACTGTCTATATTTGGCTTTATCTGCTACAAAATGTCAACCTTTTTGACAGGGTTGATTCCATTGCCATCCTCCCTCCCCCCAAAGCATGAAGACTGGTATAAAGAAGTAAAAAAACATGAAGAGAAAACATCACCTATACCAGCCACATATGCTGGGAAATCAGAACTCGCTGAGAGAACAAAGGGTCCTGCTGGGAAGAACTCACCTGGGTTTTTCCATTCCCTCATGTCACGTCTAATTTTACTTCCCATGCACTGATTTATACAGAAATGTGAGTGCACACATGGTAAAACCCCCAAAACACTCCAGAAATATTATGACTGTTGGATGGGAACCTGCACTGTGCATAAAACCCTTCCCTCTCTCTCAGCGTAACAGCATTTTTCCTGTACTTTAGGCATTGGCACCTATGTCTCATCTGCTTTCTTATCAGATGGTTAAAGGAATTGGAAGTGTTCAAGGCCAGGTTGGACAGGGCTTGGAGCAACCTGGTCTAGTGGAAGGTGTTCCTGCTCGTGGCAGGGACATTGGCAGGGGGTTGGAACTGGGTGATCTTAAGGTCCTTTCCAATCCAACCCATTCTATGATTCTATGGTTTAGGCTGGAGACAGAGAAAGGAAGTGGCACATATGCTCCTCCTATCATGGTGACATCCAGCTCTGTTTATTTTGGCAGATACTCATTGCCGGGAACTTGCTTTTTCCAACTTTACTGCTGCCCAGAAACTTGAATCAATCATATCCAGCAAAAATTAATGAAGGTGAGGGAACCTCTGCTCCCATGTCACCAACGTTGATTTTTGTGGCAGCTGAGATTTGATCACTGGGCATCCCAAAAAGGATTTTGTGGTTGTTGGGTGATTTGGAATCGAAGGTTCATGGTTGCTTCCTTCATTTTTTCTCTTTCGCTGGTCTTCCTTGGGATGGAGAAAAGGATTTCCAGTCCTGTGTCAGGTTTTGGCTTTATGGTCATTCTGTGGTGGGTCCTGGGAGCAGCTGCCTGGAAATCATAAAATCATGGAATTGTTTAGGTTGGAAAAGACCCTTAACATCTGCAATGTCTTTTAAATACCTCCAGGGATGGTGACTCCACCACTTCCCTGTGGAGCCTCTTCCAATGCTTGACAACCCTTTCAGTGAAGAAATTTTTCCTAACATCTTATCTAAATCTCCCCTTGCACACCTTGAAGCTGCTTCCTCTTGTCCCGTCACTTGTCACATGGGAGAAGAGACCGACCTCCACCTTGCTACAACCTCCTTGCAGGTAGCTGTAGAGAGCAATAAGGTCTCCCCTGAGGCTAAACAACCTCAGTTCCCTCAGCTGCTCCTCAAAGGACTTGTGCTCCAAACCTTTCACCAGCTTCACTGCTCTTCACTAAGCACAAAATCCATCCTCTCTATCTCATATCAAGCAGAAGGTTTTATGATGTATGATAACTTGTAGGAAGACCAGGACAAGGTCGCAGTATCCTTTCAAATGGTAGAGGAGAGGCGGCCACTGGTGGCTCTTGCATGGGATGAATGCAGTTGCTGGCCGCTCCCATGCAGGGATGGCTCTTTCAGGATGTGCCATTAAGAAACGGAAATCAAAGATGATTTCTTTCCCACACGCTGGCTTTTATCAGAGAGGAGGTCCTGGGACATTCAGTTATGACTGGGGCAGAAAGAGATGGTGGCATCTTGCCCAACTGCTCTCTGGGCTGCATGCCTCTTCCTTGCTTTTCTCATATTCCCTTGGAAAAAACACAGAGTTTACCACAGAACATGGCCTGGGGATGCTTTTTCCTTTAAATGGGTCTGAACCTGCCCAGTTCTGCTGCAAAGTCTTTGGCTGCTTGCATGGGCCATTCTTTTAAAATAGAGGCACTTAAAACCTGTTCTTTCCCTCCAAAAAATAGCACTGGTGTGTGGGACTTTCACTTGGTTATGTTCTGATGGGTAGAGGATGGCTGGCTTTCTTCTTATTAGTTCATAAAGCAATGTTTATGATAGGAAATTAATAGGAAATCCTCAAATTAATTCAATTAATAGGAAATGCTAGTGAGCATTTGCCCTTCCCTAGGGCTGTTGAGGAGTGATCTCCATGTGAACCTTGGCTGTCGGTTGGAGCCTTCAGAGCCTGGGGCAGCTCAGACATTGGGGCATAGGGGTTCACAGGGGAAGTGGAACCCCAGTTTGGGAATCTCAGTTTCACATGGCGATCATTTGCTTGCAGCCAAACTGCTGGTGTAGCGAGGTGCACATCCAGCTGTCAGCGGGAGCTGGCAGCAAAGCAGTGCTTGCTTTTGGTCTGATCTGGCTGGGAGGTGGAAGCATGTCCTGATGCCAAATGAGAAGCTTATTTCTCCAAGCACAGCAGGAGGAGGAATCATTTCCAGCGATGTAAAAGGGCCAAAATGTGGCAAAAGGGATGACGAAAAAGCACAAGATGGGTGCAGGTTGTTCAGGGAGCCTGTGAATCTTGACCCACCTCTAGCACAGCCTTAGGAACAACCTGATTCACCTTATAGTATGCTACAGATAGCTTTGGACTTACACTCCTGCCTCATGGTGGGAATTCCTTCAGTGAAACTCTCCTGGTTCAACTTGAACCATATGCCAGTGCTGCCTCTGGTAAAGTGGCTGCAGAGGGTAAAGAAACCACCTGGGAATCTCTTTGTTTCTTGGACTGGCTTTACTAGCTTGAAATCAAACCTGTCCCCATGAGCTGGGGCAGGGGAGGTCATGCACTGGGTTGCAGGGCAGACATATACACTGTTATTCAGCAACGTGGGAGGATAAAGTAATGAAATAATCAGAAAGCTATTAAAAAGCATTCTGAAGCAAAGGCGGCGGGCGCTAACTGCTGCTGCGCCTTCACAGTGCCCTCTACCCAGCTGCGTGCTACGAGTTTGCATAAACTCCCTACAGGGATCATGTTTTACTACGGTCCTGTCAAACCTTTTGAAGAAGTTGTATAAAAATGATTTAAAGAAAAAGAAAAGATGTTCCTGCATGTTGTGAGTGCCACTGGCCTCATGCTCTGCGGTCCTGTCCTGGACTTTCACCAAGTCTTGGCTGTGGCATCAGTTTGCAAAGCAGAGTGCATGGCTTCATGGTACACAAACATTGTTCCCTGAGCCTGGGGATTTGCTGGAGAATTACTACCGCTGGTAAAAGGGTGAGGAAATGTCAGTGCGTCTGTATTTGAAAAGTGAGTCTGAGGAGGGATCCCATGGGGACACACGTGCCAGCCTCAATCAGAGGGTTTGGCCACGTATGTCAGCAGTGGGACTGGGGCCAATACTTTGCATTTCCATCACTTTCAGCATATTTTCTTTTACTTAACCGTCATCGTAGAGATTCCTTATAGTTTAAAATGAGAAAATGCTGAAAAAACAAAGACCAAGCAATTCTTTCTCTCTCAGCTTTCATTTCACACTTCACCCTTCCTCCTACCTGTAATTTCTGATGGGGCTTCTGGCTTCCTAGAGAAAGGGTAAAAACAGGAAAAAAAAGGAAAGAAAGAAAGCAGGTGTTTTAATAATAGATCAAAAATGAGATTAAGCAGTAAGTCAGCCCTCCCCTACATTCTGCTTTCCCAAAAAGCAACCAAAGAAATTGCAAATCACCTTGAAAAAGGGGAGTGAAAACAGTGAAGATGAGACCTGATGTTAAGTACAGATGAGGTGTTTATATTTTATTTAATGACTGTATAGTGCCATATAGAAAAGCTGAATTTCTGTATTTGATTAATAAAACAGTAGAGATGAACTGGAATGGGGAAAATTCAGCAACTGTTGAGCTGGGAAAGTGAAGGCAATTGGCACCATTAGCAGGCGTGGGCAGGATTTGCTGCTTGGTACACCTGAAGGTACATGCACACTCGGAGATGTCAGTGGTGGCTATAGTTGGAGGTGGTTCCCAAAACCCTGGAGGCTTAATGAGATGCTGTTTGTTGTCCATCTCTGATGATTCTTTGACTCAGTTTTGACAACGTTTGGTAGAGTGGTGGGGTCTCAGAGGGAAGAGAATGCAATGGGATTTGTGCAAGATGCGTGGGTGCTGGCAGGATTGGGGTGATGGAGGGAAGAGGTGATTACAGGGATGTGTTATTAGTCACCAGCCAAGCTGCACCAGGAAGAACCTTTCGGCATGCCTCAGCCTGGGTGAGCGTTCAGCCAAGGCTTGTGCTTGATGAGACACGACTTCCATGGAAAGGAGGCCTAACCCTGGCACTGGGCATTGAGGCCATAAACCCCAGGTCTGTTCTTGTTTGCTGTAAATCCTCTGGCTCCTTTGGGTCTTGGTTTTGGTGGGGCTGTTGCTGCAGGCCAGGTGGATGAGCAGGAGCTGACATCTGGCATGGCCTGGGCTGCCTCACCAACCGATGGGGTTGCCTCCTCTGGACTTACCCCAAAGGTCTCCAGAGTGTGGACGTCATGTATGTCAGCTGCATGTGCACAAGCAGGCCAGGTTGGGAGGATGTACAAGGCTCAAGCTCCTCTTCCTTTTTGCACAGTGTCTCCATCAGAGACAGGACAGCAATGAAGACATTTAGTCTGACACATTCTGTGGTCCTGTTTGCACCCTCGATGAATAAAATAGGCATATGAGGTATAGTCAGTCCCCTTCAGTATTGCCTTTGTCCAACATGAGGTAACCCAAACTGGGTCATGCCATGGGTATGAAGACCCATACATGCAGCTGCAGATTTGTATTCTTGCTAAATGTGCCACTTCGAGTGCAGAAAATGTCACAGTCCCTCTGGCTCTGTGACCACAGCGGGGAAGAGGCTGAGGAGCTACATCCATTGCAGCTGTGGGTGGGTGGTAAAGGCATGGCAGGAAGAGAACAGGAGCAGCAATCCCACGCTGGGTCTGGCATGTGGGGCTGTGAATGTTTGCCAAGGGCTGCCAGAGCATGAGATGAGGAAAAAACTGCCTGCCTGCTGGAAAGCACGGCTCCCATGTGTCATTAGCATCCTCTAAGGTATTAATTTATCTTCTGTGTCACCTCCATAGTCCCAACTCTGTACTTTTAGAGTTGGAGGAGAACCTGTTTCATTACTTGCTGGGGTACTGCAGTTCTTGTTTATTCCCCCTAAGGATAAAAATTAGATGTGCCAAAGCTCAAACTTAAAAAAAATCCAATAAATAAATCCAGACTGGAAACAACCACTTGGAGGTAGAATAAGCCTCAACAAGAAAATGTTTTTCTTCTACCTTTTTCTGAGGCTGGTTGGGTATAAAGCACAGGGAGAAGATAGGGCAAGGTTTGCTTTCTTTTAATTTAAAGTATATTCCAAAGGCAGAACAGTTGGAAATTCTTTTTTGTTGAATCTGCTTTGCCAGGTTTGGGTGGGGGAAACCCCTGCCTTGGTGGATGTGGGATGGAGGCAGGAATGCATTTATTCTATTTATTTACCTATTTTTACTGGTGCAGTCTTGAGGCACAACAGCAAAGCTGTGGCTGCACTGCAGGCTATGTGCAGGCAAGAAGAGCACTTTCCACTCCAAATCCTTTTTCCCGGCACTAACAAGATCTGCACTGAAGATACATGATTGAGTCAGCAATGCAGATGCCATCAAATTTCTGCTTTATTCCAGTGTATGAATCAGAGGAGAGAGGTGTCAGAGCCTCATATCCTGTACCTCCTGATAAAAATGCAGTTACCTCTGAGGAAACAAAACACAGTGAAATCCCATTATCCTGCCTGTAGCAAGCACCTATAATTCACTGACACCAGCAGTGCTTATTTTATTGCAACTTTTGCAATAGCACATGTAAATTATTCTTTTAAGATCCTACATCCTGGGGGCAAAAAGATGGGGTTTTCTTTTAGATTTGCAGAAAAGGTGATTCAGCATGTCTATATATACACACATGGATATATGAATATATAAATATGACTGAGTTCAGGAGCACAAGCCGTTTGTGTCTACCCCTGTTAGACCAGTAAGAGCAGTGTGTGCCACTAGTCTGGGTACTGGTTGCTTACTGCACAGGTTTTTCCAATGTACCATGCTCTTGGGGAGGAAGGGGAATTAGCTTCATTTGACTTTCCAACCATGTGTGTACCTCCAAAATCACTTCATTTCCAGACTTAAAATTTTACCCTTTCAGTTTGCTGTGAAAAATCATATGCAGGAGTAAAGCCCTTTATCCACAGGAGTAAAGCCCTTTATCCCCAGAAGTTTTCTGCTTCTCCTTTGCAAGACTTTTCTGTCCCCAACTGCTGGTTTTGAAGGCACAGACAACAGTCAACTCAGTGACAGCATTTCCTTCTATTGTTCAATGGGGGCAGCTTCTGGCTCCCTTCACAAGGGTTATGCGTGGCCACTGGCTTTTGCATCAGCTGCTTCTTTTCTCCTGATCCCAGGGGACCATCTGTGTCCTGTTCCTGCTGCAGTTGCGCTTCTGGACCCGTTTTGGGAGGCCTTGGTGGGAAGGAATGAGACTTGCAATCATGTGCTTTATATCCCCTAAAAACAGATACAGCAGCGCAATTTTGCAAAGCTTTGGCTGTATTGTCCCCAAGGGACATTGTGAAGTTGTTTAAAAGACACTTATGCTACTGTGGTAGTGGTGGAGGCAGAGAAGGATAATTTTCACCTAGATTCCTCTTTTGAGGGGCTTGGGTTTTTTCCTTATTTTTTTTTCTGCACCGGAGTCTACAGAAATTGAGGGGATAAAAAACATTTCTGTGGTTCCTCATCCATAGATCTGAGGGAAAACTAGTTCAAATCCACCACCCTAAGCTACATCATAAATCTTGCTGCAGAAATGTGGAGCCGAGACATTAATAATGAGGATCTTGCACAATAAAGCGCTGGAATATTTCACACGTGACACAACATCTTTCAATCCAGCTGATGTTGTACAGAGATCTGTGTGAAAGTTCTGTGCAGCCAAGTTGGAGAAGTTTTTGCTCCTGTTTGTGCCTTTTGAGGGCAAAGAAAATGGGAAGGAAAAATCGGGTTGTATCCCAAACTGTTCACTAAGGCTCAAATGTGGGAGTTTTAAGGTCCTCCCTATTATGAAAGTGCGTGTGCTGACAGAAAATGATTCAAATTAATAGTTCTCCTTTCCCTGCTTCCCATGTCTTCAAAACACTCCCATTCAGCCAAGCTGCCTCCTATCAAACTTCTAACACAGTAAAAGACAAAAATTTTCTGGACTGTGACTGATCATGAGAAATGTTAGTCCTCAGGGGTCTGTGTCCCTGAGGTTTGAGGGATGGATGACAAGAGCTTAGGGTTGTGAGATGACAAATGTAACTTCACAGTTGCTCATTCATGCTCTAGCAAAGGTGTGTTCTGGGTGTTGGTATCTTCCAGCAACAAAGCTGAGATATGATCAGCTCTTATATGAATATTCTTCACCTTTTTTTTTATTTATTATTTATGCAGTTAAAAGTAATTAGAGGGCTGCTGGTATTTTGAACAACTGTATCCACCTAGGAAATTATGACCTTGCATTTATTCAATCAAATAATATCAAGATTAAGAGTGAAAATAGCTGAGATTGTCAGTCATAAGGAATTGTGATGCAGCCTCGGCTCAAATCCATCACCTGAAATTAGGAAACTGGCAGGGTGTTCTTCATTCACCAGCATGAGGCATCACAGCAAGATCATTTAACTGTAATTCATCAATTTACCAGGCTACTCAATTAAGTGGGGGCTGGAGAGAGGATGAAGGGAATGATTCTGCCTGTTACAATGAATCTTTGGCCACCTGAGGACTTTTTCTGCTCACTGATCTGTTGTGTTTCATGTTGCCTTGAAGGCCCAACTGAAGAAGACCCTAGACCAGCGATGCACTGCTGCTAGTGGCCCTGGTTTTTAATGTTGCCTCTGCATACTTTGTGCATGGGAAGACTTGCAGCATGCATTGAGCCATGCTGACTGTGGGAGGGGAGGGTGGGGACATTGGCCATTAGCTGCGTACAACCAGCTGTCACATGTGCAAATACAAGCTCTCACCCTGTGACTGTTAATGAGGAAATCTGCATAGTAGTAATTCTAAACTCTGAGTGCAAAGGAGGTTGTTACCTGAGTATAGGCTGTGTTTGCTGTTAAATTTATATAAATCTCTCGACTCCTTGTGTCTTGGCACTAGCTTGGAAAAGGAGTGCTGGTTCCTGTGCTTTTTCCTTGCTGTTTCAGGACAACCTTGTGGCTGTGAAAACTGCACAGCACTCTCATGACTGCAGGGCTTCCTGAATCTTGATGCCAAAGCAAGACTTCAAATGGTACATCTCTCATCACTCTTCCAAACCTTATTAAAAGGAAAACAATCACAGTGGTGGTGAAAAGGGAGGGCTTAATGAACTAAAGGGATTATTGAATTAGACCTTTTCCTCTATGTGGTTTGCCACTGACCTGAGCCTGACTGAACCATAGTCTGAAAAGCTCCTGGAGAACCTTGGATGGACTTTTGCAAAAAAAAATATTTAAGTTAAACTTTGTGCAGCCTGAAGCTGGTTCATCTCAGCTCTCTTTCTCCTGTGTTTCTGTAGTTTGACCCCAGACTTATTGGTGAAGCACTCTGGGAGCCTGGTGCAACCTCCGATTCTGCTATGGGTGGTCCTGTCTGGCATCAGCTGCCCTGAGACCTTGGTTAGTGTTGTTCTAGTGCTGGCTGATGCAGCCCTTCATTAGTCTTAAAGAAAGAAGCTGGGGTAGAGGTTTCTTTATGAATGTGATATTTTAGACATTTGCCTATTACCGAGTACATCCAAATAACTGACTGTTTCAGGTGGCTACACCTAAACCTTTTGGTTTCTTCACTGTGGATAGCTCACTGCTTGGGATCTCTGCTTGGATCCATGGTGGCACTCCCCTGTTTTGCCCTTATGATCATCTGTGTCGTTTTTTTGCAAAATGAGGCTCAGACTCACCCAGGTTTCTTACCATTCCACATATATGGATGTTTGCTCAACCCAATAACTTCTGAACCTGTTGTCCTGTTTCAGTCAAGCCTGAAAAAGAGATACAGGACTGCAAGTGTAATTGAGGTTGCAAAGTTAATGAAAAACAGACAGGCACAAGAGACAGCCCACATACTTACTGAGCCTTGGGGAGAGGTGCAGCTCCAGTTTGCATGAGTGGGTATCAGACAGTCTCTATGAGGGAGAGATCTTCCAACTCAGTCATAAGATCAACCAGAGTCAATGCATGGCCCCCTTGTTGCCTCGGTAGACCCCAGTTCCATGAATGGAGGTCTCTATTTGCAGTCAAACTTGTTTTAAGTGCAGTGGTGGTTTGGGCAAAACCAGCCCTAGTTAAAACTGGCTGGTGATGGAGAAACTTTAGTGGCTTGTTGCGAGGTGTAGCTGCTTACCCACTTTCTGTAAAAACACAGCAAGAAACTTCAGCAAGGCCAAGGACTCCAGATCATGAACGTTTCCTCCTAGCTGGCTTTCTGTCCTATTTTTCTCTTTCAACAAAAGCAACAGAAAGGAGAACTCATTTGAATTTCATAATAAAATACCTCCAAGGAGAGGAAGCAAAAAGGAACTGTAAGAGGAATAGGTGGAGGTTCAAAACACATTCTTTCTCTTGTCGTCCTTTGCACATGCACACATATTATACATACATGTAGCCATACCCCTTCATAGAATCCTACAATACCAGGTTGGAAGAAACCTCAAGGGTCACCTTCTCCAACCTTTTTAGGCAAAGCATGACCTAGACTAGATGGCCCAGCACGCTGTCCAGCCAAACTTTAACAGTCTCCGATGTTGGGAAATCCACCACTTCCCTGGGGAGATTATTCAAATGGCTGGTTGTTCTCACTGGGAAAAATTTTCCTCTAGCATCCAACTGGAATCTCCCCAGAAGTAACGTGTGCCATCACCCCTTATCTTTCCAGTTTTTGTAAAAACGGGAGTCTCCGTCTCCTTCTCCTTATATAACATGGGAAAACTAAATTGAAAAGGAGACAATACAAATCAGGATGAAAGGGAAAAAAGAGGATGAGTCAGCTCTCCTCCTGCCTGTCTGAACCAAGGGGAGCCTGGTGCTCATGACAGATTTTTTTCCAAAAAAGATAATGCATCAGGCTAATGACAGCCTATGAGATGTGAATGCTATGACTGGGAGCACTATGAAACTTGCGGTTAGGTACTTGAATGTCACTCACTGTGCAGAATGAAATGTAAGTTGAGTTGCAACAATTTCCCTAAAGCTGTGTGTATTAACATACAAATACCAAGGAAGTCAAATCTTTGAATTTTTATCTGCTTCAGCTTGAGAGTCAAATAGACACATTACAGAAGTGTCATCTATTTGAATCAATTGTCACTGCTGCATTTGTGGAAAGGATGCATCTGGGTTTATTGACAACATTATTGAGGTGCTTAGAAACACAAGTGTGTTGGGTTTATTCTCCCTTCAGTAACTTATTCCTGTTTCTGGCATTTTGTTAAAATATTCTTTTAGTTCTAGGCTCCTCTGAAGATCTCTGCTGAGCAGAGCATTAGTAACTTTGTACTCATAGCTTTCTTGTAAATTTTAAGATAATTTTGTTTCCCTAAAGAAAAAACCTGAAATGGAGAAAAGAATTTAGGAATTGTGATTTACTGACCTTATAGTGAGGAGGCTTAGCTGCCTTTTTTCGTCCTTTATTTCCCTTGGTTAAACCACATCAGCTGAAATGCAAGTTAGTGGCCAAAACTTCCTGTTGATCTCCATCATAGCATCACTTCACTCATTTTACTTCCTCTGCTGCTTTGCTGATCCCTGCCTGTGCAGAGAAGATACAAAATCAGTCTTATATACACTTGAGAAGAATCTATATATGAGGTTTCAGGTTTGGGGGCAAATATTTTAGGGAGTAGATGTCTCCTGCTGTCAAGGAAACACAGGGAAATTCTGCCTGGTGAAGGGACTTTGTGACTGGGATCTCTGAATTTCTACCTTGTGTTTGGCTGGTTTTAAAAATAACCTTTTAGGAGCCATGGCCAGTGACTTCACCATTTTGCCTTTGTTTCCATCTTTATAAAACAGTTCCTGCACCTAAGGAGGTGGTGGCAAGGATTAGGTTTTAAAGCTCTTTGAAGATGGCAAGTGGTGTATAACAGCTCAATGTTTATAATGGCATGGCTTAATATGATGAGAATTTTTTACAGCTGAGTTCAGATATGCCAGGCTGGAGCTTCGGCAAGTTGAAACAGGCATTGCTTCATTGATCTTATCCCAGCTGCACTAGTTGATGACACCTGATTATCTGGCCGATCATACCTGACCCATGGGCTGCAGCAGGGAGCTCTCCCTGTTGTTACTCCTCTAGCAAGTTCTCCTTCCGCTGGCCTCCTGCCACAGCATATGCCACATTTAAATCTGGTTCTGTGCTTTTGGCTTTGTTCCTTCTAAATGTTTTCAGTTTTGTTGACTTTAACTGATCCCAGTGGCATCTTTTTATGATGCACTTTAGTCCACTTCTTCTACTGCTTCAAGTGGTGCAATAACACTCCTAAAGTTCAACCTATTTTTAATTACCAAAAAAAAAAAGGCAAAGGGTTGTACTGTTCTGTCACTGGTGAGAGAAAGGGAAGGTTTTTATTATTTAAATTTGATTGAATTTACAACTCGATATACACAGTGGTTTTAGTAGAATATTGCTGTAATCGGAAGGGCATATTATTGTTTGTTCTGGCTCTCTTGGGAGCCCGTACTGGTACTGGATAAGCATAACTATTGTCATCTGTTGGATGATCTCAAAGCACTTCAGAACTGACAGTGTGAATGAGGAAGACTTGGAGAATGTCCTTCCAATAAGGAAGCTGAAGCAACTTCCTAGGGCTCAGACTGAGGTAATGATTACTGGGGACAACAATTCCTGATCCATAGCAGCGTACATAGTGTGGTAGATCAAATCCCTCCCCACTCCAGCTGGAGGTACTTCCATGTTCATTATCTGGTTTGCCCTTCTCATTGACCTCTGTTTTTCTGTACTTGCACCATAAAAAGCTTCATTGCTTGGTTCTGTTGCTGATGAGATTTCGAACTGATGTGCTGCGTCAGGCTGTGTGTTTCTGCGGAGTTTGTGCATGTAGGCATGAATTTATAGGGAGGGAGAGAAGGGATAGGAGGAGGACAGTGTGTGCGCAGGGTTGTGTCAGTACATGGTCCTCTCCTTCACTAGGTCCAAGCAGCTTGCATCCATCTCTGCTGAGAACCACAGCCTTACTGACTTGGTTGTTACAGATCTGCTCTTAAGGAGATCTATGAATGATAACTAAATTAAAGAAGCCAATGTTTGCACACCTGTCACCCAGCACTGAATGCATGGGTTTGCATTTAGGAAAAAACAAGAGAAATCACTTTCTTTGGCAGACATAGTTCTTGATTAGTTCCTTGAACTGTCTTACTCTGTATGGAGTCCAAATCTCTCAGGCTGGGATCTACTTGGCTGTGGAGCTTCTCTGTGGAAAGTGACCTGGGATTCCTGGGGGATGCAGGCTCAATAGAATTGAACAGCGTGCAGTTCTGTCCAAAGAAAGTCAACAGGATGCTGGGTGAACATCAACAAGGGCATCACCAGCAGACATAAAGATGTCATTTTCCAACTCTACTCAGTGCTTCTCAAGCCACACCTGGAACAGTGTGTCCAGTTTTGGTCCCCACTGGAGAGGATCCAGAGAAGAACCACAAAGATGATCCAAGGACTGGGCACCCGTTTGAGGAAAGGGTGAGAGCCCGGCTTGTTCAGCTCAGTTTGCCCCCAAACTACACCTGTGAATATACTTTCACAACATTTGAGGCAGGACTGCAATTAGCAGGAGCAGTCCTGCTCCCCTTTTCCCACCTTTGCTTGATTTTGCGCTTCCTTCGTCCTGCTAACACCACATGCTACAGACATGGCTGCATGGGCAACTGAACTGCAGAAGTGATCTGTGTTTAAATGTTTAATGAATTAGTTCTTCCTATATTCATATAAGTGGAACATCCGCTCTTCCTTTGCATGAGAATAGAAATTAATTTTGTTTCAAGTTCTGAGAACCTGATGACATGCTGAATAGATAGAAATTGGTTCTATTTATAGGCTGCAGAATTCCTCTGTACAATAAACCAGTTTGTTTTAATTTAAACTATGTATTCAGCACATTCAGCTTAAAGTTTTACATACCTTTTTCCTGCATTCTAATTGTTTTTTCAATTTGTGACATAACTCCTAAGCACAATTAAAAAGTTAGACTAGTCATTAAGAAACTTCATTTACCATTTTTAGCATGAAATGTGTTGACTTGCATAGTTTATTAATTTTTATGAATGCCCAACTGTAAAAATAGGACAGCTTTCCAGTTTAGCCAGAGGCCTGATTGATGGAGAAATATGCCTTTATTGTGCTCCACCATCAAAAGTCAGCCTTTTGTTATGGAAAAAAAAGACAAAAATGCAAAGCAAGACAGTTTAAGTCAACCAGAACTGAAGTATTTTGCTCTCTGTTTTGCATCAATAAATCCTGTAGTCACAGGAGAAAAGGTACGACGGTTGAAAAAGGATTGCTGGGCAAGTTAGCAAGTGTTCCTCAAGGACTGATCTCAAGACCAGTGTTAATCAGTGTATTGATGAATGATACAGCAGAAATCAATGGGATTTGGAGGTGTCACCAAAAGAGGAAAAAATAGGACATCACATCAGAAAAATAATGACTTTAGGACTATCTGCCTGTAGGCAAATGCAAGTTCTTTTTTTAATGCAAGTTCTGAGAGAAAGTTGGGGCTTCTGTCTTGGAATTGGAATGTATTAATCAATCATAGGGTAATTCTCGTGTCCTGGTGATAAAGGTGCATAATAGAACCACATTAGTCAACCAAGTTATTTCCACTAGTGACAAGGAAATGTGAATGCTACCACAACAGGTTTTAGTGAGGCATTGTTTAAAATGTACTATGTATTCCTTGTCCATGTAGGAGAAAGATTGATTTCAACTGTAAAAGGTGTAGGGGAGGGTGCCCACTGGAAATGATCTGGAGAACAGTGGAGCTGGTTCACAAAAAGGGAGCCTGGATGGGAAGCCAGTGACAAAAAAAGGCAGAGAAAAATTATATTCCTTCTCTATAAATACACTGGCATAAATACCACAGAGGGGGAAGAGTTATTTAAGTTAAATGACAATTCTGGCACAAGAACAAATGGCTCTGAGTAAGTTTAGGCTGGAAATGAGCAGAATGGCTTCAAACGAAGGGAGGTTCTTGAATAGCCTCCTAATGGGAATTGTGCAACTGGGGCTAAAAACCCAATTACTGTGAGGATGGAGCCTGATAAATTTATTAATGAGATTACGCAATGTGGTTGACTGACTTCAGTATTAAGGGATCAGACTCAGGGTTTCCGTTCCTGTGCATTTGCAAATACACTTAAAAATCCTGCAGGTATGAGAAAAAAAATAGAAGGTTGTAATTCTGAGAAATATTTTCATGTTGATTCAGCTTGAAGCTGGTTTCTCTGTGTCTGATGCACTAATAACTGAATTGAGTGACCTACAGATGGAAGGAAGGAAGTATCCTTTCTGCATTGGGAAAAAGCAGCAGCTGGCAACTGTTTCGCTATTTTAGTGGTCGATTTTGGCAGCAGGCCTGTACTACTTAGATATATATTTTTTAAAATTCAAAGCATTTTGGGTACATTATAGTAAAGTTAGGCCTTGAAATAGATTGTGCTCAAAACTATGTCAATTATTACTTATTAACTTTGTAGTGCTGCTTTTCAAAAAAACCTGCAGCACTTAATGGACACCCGTGATTATTATCGATCTCACCATTCTCTTTATCGATCCCCATTTCCCCCCTTTACTGAAAGTCCCCGATTCCTTGTCGCTTTGCTAAAATCACAGTAAAGAAGACCAACTGCCTTTTTGTCAAAAGAACCTAGTTATTTTATCAAAGATGAGTGCCAAGCTATTTTAGCACAATGAATCTTTGATCTCAGGGTGCACTTACACTGAGTATTTCTGTGCCTTTTATGTTTTGATTCAGACTCTGTTCTCAGGTCTTATCTGGAACTGATTGCAGTGGCTTCCCTGAACGCTGCTGTCTCTAGCCCTCCTTCCTTCAGCAGAGGTATTATGTTGTAGAGGCCTCCATGATTTGGGAAAGATGTCAGTTGAAGCAGGCTATAACAATGGGATGCCGTGTGGTTACAGAAGAAAATCACACATGCACATAGGCACTTTCAAACATGGGCTGTGGGACGAGGAGGTTCATTCCAGCATTTCAAGGCTTTTATTGTGAAGCTTTCTGTATTTTAGTTGAGGGATTGTGTAGACTTGTTAGAAGTACTAGCTAGCGGACTTGATGTTTCAGCAGCCTGAACAGAGGGCGCTGAGCAGTGGGATTGATTTCTCCCTGGCTGGGCAATTGCAGGGAGACTTTCTTGTACCCCACAATGCCTTTGCCCCTACATTCTACACTCTCTCCTTGTTACTCAGCTGCAAGGCAGCATCTGTATTCAATCTGGGGTCTTGACTGTGACTATCTCCAATCTCCAGCTTCCTTACGTGTGCTGTTTTATTTGCCTCCTTGATTCAAGATGCAAATGGCAGATGGTTTTTCCCCTTTGGTTTTAAGGTCTTCTTGTTGGAGCCTTTCAGCCATTCAACCCCATCAGCTTCTCAAACTCATTCCCTTAATTACCTCAATTTTTCTTTTTGAAATTAAAAACCTTAAAGGACTGCTTTTATTTTGCTTAAACTGAACCAGTTTGTGAAAAATAGGCTTGAATTGAGTGATCACAAGCAGCTTTTATTACAACATCCTCACTATTTGCAGACAGTCTAAAGACGAATCACCTCTCGTTTGTTCAGTGCCTATTTTGTGGAGAATTCTATTGGCTATTACATCCCAGACTTACAGGGCATGCTGTTAGTATTTGTTCTTCCTTCTATATCTGGATTTGAAGACTCCTTTATCATTCAGTTCCTAGTATTATTTTTTTCTGTGTCTAGTAATTTTTCAAAGCTCCCTGCACACATCCAAATCCAGCGGTGGGGTCTCCAGCAGACCTCTAACACAATCCCAGCAGACAGCCTTTTACAGTCTTTCACCAAAGTGGCTTTAATCCAGAATGATGGTTTTATGCATGCTATCACTTTGGATTTCTAGCAAACACAGATGATTCACTCAGTTCACAGAAGGAACCACAGAGCAGTGTCCCAAAAGATTATTTAAATAGAGTTTTAGAAGCGGATTTGGGGTTATCGTGGGTGGTGTGCATGCTCAGGTCTGATTCTGGTTTGGGGCTTTGAGAGTGGTTTTTTTTAACCACCTGTGTACGTGCTTACCAGCTTTCTTTACTGTATGAGGACTATAATTTCTAACAGATTGGTTTTCAGATTGTTTATAGTCATGTAGGAAGAATTATCCCCAGTTTACATGGTGGTAACTGAACCCAGGCACCAACAGAACAGCTGGCTTAAGCACATAGGTCTCTGAAAGTGGAGTCTGCATTGCCCAAGTCTTCTGTCTTTTCAAGCACTGTCAGCAACCTGGCTTGTTGTCAAGGCCCCTTAAAGAGCATCCACTCAAGGGTGAGCTGAACTGTTGGGAACTCTCAGCCTTGAGTCCAGCAGTCTGATGCAACAAAGCACATGCTTAAAATGATGCTTTTGTACTTCACTGAACCGCTTGTTTTGCGGTCACTTTTAATTTACGTTTAGACAGTGCTGAATGCTTCATTAAAATGCTTTTAACAGACAAGAGTGTAGTGCCCAAGCTATGCTGCAGTTACAGTATGTAGGTGTTTTGGGATTATGCTATATATGAATGAAATGATTATTTCTTTTTAACTCCTGTTTAAATATAGTTCAAACTACAGAATATTTAGTAGAACAGAATAAGCTGTTGCTTGCCAGCTTTTTCATACCAGTGGTTACCAGATGCTTCTCTGTTTATAAGCTCACCATCTGTTCCAGGGTGGAGTTTGGGGGTAGTCTAGGTATTTGGATGTGTCTTCTTTCTTGGGTATCTCTGGAAGACTTCAAAGGATCTGTTTTGAGATGAAGGGGAAGCATGGTTAGCTGTAACACTCAAGGAATTCAAGGGAACTTTACAGAAATGCAGCTAATTCCTTAGTGTAGCGGGGCTTGGAAGGGGAAGGAGCCTTAAGCAAAGAGGCAGCACTGGTATTTTGTGCCATTATTCAGTCATTGCCAAGATCCACTTGGAGTTTTGCTTGGCTGTCACCATACTGGGTTGCTGCTTCCTGCTTTGGATTGCGTCTTTTTCTTAACAGTCACTGAAATTTCCAGGAGGATTACAATATGAAAGTTTTAAAATTGATTCATGTGGGTAAATATTATTTAGATACAGTTTAGAGCCAGGTTAACTTTTTGTTTGGTTGCTGCTGTAGAATGAGAGTTAAGTCATTTTACAAGGGCATGTAGGGACAGCGCAAGAGAAATTATTTGACAGAGGGGAGATTTAGATGAGGTATTATGAAAAGGTTGTTCCCTGTGAGGGTGCTGAGACCCTGGCACAGGTTGCCCAGAGAAGCTGTGGCTGCCCCATCCCTGGCAGTGTTCAAGGCCAGGCTGAATGGGGCTTTGAGCATCCTGGTCTAGTGGAAGGTGTCCCTGCCTGTGGCAGGGGGGTGGAACTGGATGAGCTTTAAGGTCCCTTCCAACCCAAACCATTCTGTGACTCACTGGCATGGTTCTAGTGGTTTCCTCATGACCCAGCCCAGGAAGCGCCCATAATTCACTCTCCCTTGCAGGAATTCACATCAGGTGGTTATGGGAATGTGCACATACCCCACCTTGTTAATCCCTTCAGCACGTACCTCACGCCCTCAGGCCTCATTCCTACGGGTGGTTAAAGGGTTGGCTGTGGCTGCCCGGGTGAAACGGCCCTTTATGGCGGCACCTCAACCAGACGGGAGAGAAGAGTAGCAAGGAACGTGCCCGCATTTAGGCGGGAAAAGCGCCTCCCCCCGGAGCGCTTGCGCAGTGGCAGGCGGGCGGGCTCTCGCAGGGGAGGGAGCAGCCGCTCCGCCTCCTCCACTATTTAAAGGGACGGAGTTCCCCTTCGATTTGTTACCCCTTCTCAGAGCCGGGAGGGGACGGGTGGTAAGGGTGTGAGCCCATGACTGTTTGGGTCCTTCTCCGTGCTAGAGACGGAGGAGAGCTGGGGAGCTTCGGCTTTCCCCTGCAGGTTCCCGAGCTGCGAATCTCCTCCTCCGTGTTTCTGCTCCCCACCCCTCATCCCTTCGGCTCGCTCCGCGCCTGTTCGGCTGTCTCCGCCCACCTTTCGGATAAGGCCGTTAAATTCCGCCACCACTTCGGCAACTTCCGCCGGTTCGGTCGGAAATGGCCGAAGACGTGAGAGATCCAGCGGTTTAGGAGAGAAAACCGGCCGGCTTCTTGGATCAAACCAACTGTATCCGGACCCGGGGGGGGAGTAGGGGAGGGCGGACGGAGTGGGAGGATAAGGCAGCGGCTATGGCTCCCCCCCCAGCCACTCGCGGAGGATGGCGCAGCGGGCGCCGGGACCGCGGCTCTGCCAGGAGGGTGAAGTGAGGGCGCCAAGAGGTAGGATGGACCGTACCACGTACGGTGAAGTATGGGGGCGGTGTGGGAAAGGTGGGGAGAGCGACTCGCGGCGGTAACACACATCGCACACGCACCCCCGGGAGAGTCCGTGGGGCCGGGTGAGTGACTGGAGTGGTGCAGTCCGGGGGAAGCCCTCCTGAGGCGGGAGGGGTGACCGGCTTGTGCGTCCCTGAGGAGCAGGCTTGGGGGTGGTGCGGAGTCCTTCAGGGTTAGGGACACAGTGCGATAATCCCTCGCAGTGTGAGAGGCATTTCGGGTGTCTCACAGGGTGAGGGACACCGCGGCGGGGTCCCCACAAGGCTGGGGACCCTCATGGCGGGAGAGTTGCGGTGGCACCCGGCGCCCAGCCGCTACTGATGGGTTCCAGCCTCCCTGCCTGGCCCCTGCTCTCCCTCCCGCCTCGCTGAACTCACTCTGCGAGGGGCCGGGGCGCACCGGCCCGAACCCCCTCCTGTCCCCCTGCGGCATCTCCTGCGTTTCAGGGGTTCGCCGCGGCCGGCGCGGTCCCGTCCCCCGCCCTGAGGCAAGGTATCTGCGAGGGGGCTTGAGGCCTAGTGCCCGGTCCGGTTTCGGCCGTCACCGGCAGCGTTGACCCCGGCGCGCTTTTGGCCGGCTCGCAGGGCTGTCCCGTGGCTTGGAAACTTGACAAAGCCTGCGGCAGCGCGCTCCCTCGCACCGGATCGGGGCGTGCTCCCTGTTGCTCTCGCTGGGGTTTCGCCTTACGAGATGGCGAGGATAGAAACGACGAGGCTGTTGTCTACTCAGCGTTCCTGGTATGCCTGTATTTGAATTGTTTGCCGAAGTTGAGTTTCGTGTTTTGTTTTTCCAGCTGTTTTCCCCATATGAGGTGTCTTACTGCTTGAAAACATTGGGGTCTTTCCTCAATCAAATATTTTACCACTGCGGGACTAATACATTGCTTCTGGCTGCCTAACACCCTGTTACAGTGGTCCCAAACCAAACAATTTGGAGCCTGGAGGAGATGGAAATGGTTAAAATGGTATTAAGGATTCACAAAGATGCTGAGAAGCACTCCAGATGTGCTGTGCTGTTGCTTTGTGTGTTAGAATCTGAACATTCAGTGTCTCAGCGAGTAGTTTCTGATCTCTTTTCATGCGTGTGCCTGATAAATTGTGTGCGTTGATATCTCAGTATGATAGCTTGGCTTTAAAATGTCTGTGTTCCTGTGCTGCAAGTCTAACATCTGTATGAAGAAGATTAAATAAGTTTCTTTCCTGAAAGGAGTGTTACATGCAGGTGGTTGTCTTAAAGATATTTATGTTTTCATGGAGAAATAGATTATGTTTAAGATAGTAGGGTTCTTGAAATGTGGGGTGTGTTTTGTACATTGTTGGGCTTTATCAAGCAATGAATAGTTAAGCTAGTTTCTGTACAGAAGAAGCATCAGAAATGAACCACAGTCTGATTATGTGGTGATGGGGAGAGAGGTGTTCTCCTCTGAATCCCTTAACTTCATGTACTATCTGAGAGTCCAGTTATTATATGCAGCTTTATCTTTGTTTACTCATGGCTTTGGGAGACCTCTTTTTATTTTTTAAATCCAGAAACAGGGGTTTGCATTAGTTGAGCTCTGTGTTACAAGATTCTGGAACAGGGGTAATTGATTGTCTTCATTTGAGCATAGTACAGCTGAATTCTTCTGGCAGCTCAGCTGTGGTACAGTTCTTGAGCTTCTTGATGTCTTTTTGCAGAAAGGAAGTCCAAAATAGTTTTCTGAAATTCTCTTAGTTCTTCAAGTGGAGTCTGTTAGCTCTCATGTTTGTTTGCCTGTAAGGATGGCTTTTGGCAGTTGTCAAGTCAGAGTAAAAGCAGCAAGTGTGTAGAACAAGAAAAACATGATTACTGAATTGCCTTTGCTTAGACTGTTTCCAAGCGATATATGGCAAAATTGGAGGGTTGTTTTTGTGCTATTCAGGTGGGGTGGGAAAGATCGTCATCTTCCCTTGAATATTTGTAGCATGGATCTCTGGGACTGTTCACTGGTGAGTTGAATGTTGGTTTTATGCATTCCCAGAGCTTGCTTGTGTATGTGGAGCCAGAGCCCAGCTTCAGCCTTCTTTCCATGACTATCATGTCTTGAAATGCCAGTACACTATCATCTTAGGTTTTTAGAGTTTGTCTTTCTCTTTCTGGCTATGTGTATTTGTTCTCCATTTATTTGTTATTTTTTCCTTTCACTTTCTGCTGCCAGACTTTTATTCTGTGCTGTCTGACCCCTATCACCTCTCCCAGCTGCCTTGCCAGCTTTCCCCGGGATGTTTCCCCCCCCCTGCCCACAGTGATGATTTCACTGGGGTGGGACATGCAGTTCACCATACATACTACCTGTTTGAAGCCAAGATCACAGCAGTCGAATGTGAATTAGTTCCCAGTCCAGAGGCAATTTTTCTGCTTTGCAGACCTCATAAAAACACAGGAAGGGACCTCCTGATCACTGTCTCCAGATGCCTCACCAGCACATAGGTTTTCCCAGTGCTACTGTCTCTACCTGCGATCTGTGTTAAAACCTCCTTTTTTTTTTTTTTTTTTTTTTTAGGGCAGGAACAGACTGTGACTATTTTGAAGCAGTTCCTAACTCTGGAGTTTTTAACTTGAGGTGGACTTTTTGCTGCTACTGTAGTGAATGAATCTTAGCCCAGACTGGTATTTGTATGCCTTAACCACCCCAAAAACAAAATACATGAGGTTTTTATTTGCTTTCTTGTGAAATAAAAAGTCAAAGCATATTTAGATAAGTGCTATTTCAGTACAGGTAGGCATATCGTCACTAACATGTGGCTAGGCGGTAGAGGAAGCATTCCCGTGGGATTTGGAGGACACAGCTGGACTTGTAGCCGTCTCCTGTAACCCATGCTACATAGGCTCTGCTGTTGGACTAAAGTTAGTATGATATGCTTGCAGTTCTGTGGCTGCAATTTAGACACATCCTCTAAATGTGTCTAAAGCAAAGAGCCTGTAGTTTTCTTCTTGGAGAATACTTGAAAGTGCTATTTACTGGCGATTGTCGTGGTTAAGTTTGGCTCCTGCAGTGTAGAGGCTGTTTGTCAGATGGAGATGATGGTGGTGAATGTTGCCTGAGGAAAGGTGCAAAGCCATTTTGGGTTGTGTTTTTGTTTTGTTTTTTTTGTTTTTTAGGGAGGATAAAGACCGGAGTGTGTACAGCTCTGTGGCACACAGCTAATCAATCCCTGGATTGCCTGGGCGTAGGAAGCCTTGAGCACCGGCCCACCAGGTACATTGATGTTGTTATGCAGCAGCTGCGGAGCCAGTTTTGAAGTGCAAATTGAAATCCCATTTTTGTGAAATCATTGCTATTAGTTAATTGATGTCTGTTACCAGCAAGAGCAGTTTAGAGGACTGACTTAAGCTGTCACAAACGGGTTTGAAAGGATATTTCATAGCTTCTGCATTGACTTGCTGGACATTCCCATCAAGACTGCAGCAATTTAAAAGCAAGTTCCAGTAGCTTTATTTTTTTATTTATTTAGTGTTTGCTGAAGAAGTTTTAAGATACCAAAGCCTTTCATATCAGAAATGCTTAGGTTTGCTGTGCTCCCTCTGCTGGCATTTATCCCTGCTAACCTGGTGAGTGGACATTAGTTTCTCAGGGCTATGCTGACATAACAAATAACACTACAAAGTGACCTGTCACTCATTGATTAAAATTAAGTGGAGTAGAGAAAATGGAGACTCATCCAGAACATGAATCCTTTATGTTTGTCAAGTGGGAGGGACCCCTGAAACTCCAAACTATCTGTAATCGGTAATGGATGTAAAGAAGGTGTTTTGTTTTTGTTTTTTTTTTAATAAGGCATGTGTTTTGATGTCCCTCAGATGTTCTGCTCTTACAGCCAATTTCTTAAATGCTTGGGATCTTGTTGCGTGGCATTGGGGGGGGGGGTATGTGTTTTCTCTGCCTATACCCTACCCGTGAACTTTGGGTAAAAAAAAAATGTCACTTTTCTAGTGTACTGCACAAGTAACATTTTTACTTACTTTATGTGCAGTTTCCAGCTGGTTAGCCTTTTATCTGTCTTGTTTCGTAAAATGCTTTCTTTTATGATTCAGAATTATTTGTAGGTATCATCTTATCTGACTTTCTGCTTAGGGGTATTGGCAGTGCAGATAGCCTGAGGTTTGTTTCTGTTCCTGTTGTGTTTTGGTATGAATGTTG